CCACATGTTCTCACTTACAAGTGGGGCCTGAACGTTGAGAACACATGGAAACAGAAAGGGGAACACCACACACTGGGGCCTGTTAGGGAGTGGGGTGGAGGGAGTGGAGAGCATTAGGAAAAATAGTTAATGCATGCTGGACTTAATACCTAGCTGATGGGTTGACAGGTGCAGCAAACCACCATGGCACATGTTTACCTATGTAACAAATCTGCACATCCTGCATTTGTACATTTGTACCCCAGAACTTAAACATTAAAATTAAAAAAGAATACACCTTTAATATACATTAATATGGCTATAAGTCTTTGATGAACATACCTGGGAACTCTTGGAAGGAATTTCAGGTAGGCACTAAGTCCCTTTTTGGTGAATGCACATGGAAGAGACTAGAAAATGTACACACAACTAGCTCAAGGGAAGTAGAGGTTCTGCACTTTTTATTAAGTGTGTTAAATACCGGCCAGGTGAGGTGGCTCACGCCTGTAATGGGAGGTGAGGCAGGCGGATCACCTGAGGTAAGGAGTTCAGCCTGGCCAACATGGCAAAACCCTATCTCTACTAAAAACACAAAAATTGGCTGGGCGTGGTGGTGGGCGCCTGTAATCCCAGCTACTTGGGAGGATGAGGCAGGAGAATGGCTTGAACTCGCTAGGCAGAGGTTGCAGTGACCCAAGATCATGCCATTGCACTCCAGCCTGGGCAACAGAGTGAGACTCCGTCTCAAAAAAAGAGTGTTAAATATCTAATGAATTCTATTATAGTTTTGAGAAGGTACCAGAAGATTCAGAAGATTCACAACTTATATAACAGCACAGCTTAATAAGTGAAAACAGATTGCATATCTTCGGGCCTTATGCTTATCCCTTCCAAGGTGATTGGGGTTAATTTCACAACAGACTTGTTTTAATAAAATAGTACTTTTCCTTTATCAAGGGAAAATAGGACAGGAACTAACACAGAGCTTACTATGTCAGGCACTATGCTATTTGTTTTATCTATCTCTAATAATCTTCACAGTAACCCTGCATGACAGTTTAATTAACTCAATTTTACAGATGAGGAAATTAAGCCTCAGAGAGATGAAATAGCTTCCTCAGTGTCCTATAGTCTGAATTTGAGCCATGATGGTCTGATTCCAAAACCTATGTTTCTAGGTAAAATAGGTTATACTCAGTACATTTTCTCAGCCCCCCTCTTCCACTACACACCACATCACATTTTCTCCTAACATCCTGGCCTCTAATTGGCACTTCTTTCTTCACTTTTGAATAATTTGCCTGAACTCTGGACAACGCATTTTATCCTCTCCTACAGCAGAAGTTTCTAGAACATTCTTTTGCTGAACATTCATAAAGCCATCCCCTTCTTGACTTCTATGATACCATTCTTCCAGTTGTCCCCCTCATCCTTTCTCAGTATTTTTCCTTCTCAATAATATTCCCTAAATTGCCTCCTAACACTTTAAGTGTTAGCATTCCCCAAGGTTTCAATCTCAATCATATTTTTCAGACTGCATATATTTTCCCGAGCAATCCCTTGTAGTTTCATGACTTCATGTGACACTTATGACTTGGTGATCAGGTCACCAAGAATGATATGCACAGTATGATATTTTTAATGTATTTTTATACATACAACATGTAGAGAGATATTAAAAAATAAACTGAAATAATATATACCAAATTCATGGTAGTCCTTGCCTATGAAAAGGAAGCAAAAACAAGACAGGGAGGAGAACAAAAGAGATCTCAACTCTATAAATTGTTTTCATTAAAAACTTTAAAATAAAAAAGGGACACAGATCTGAAGATTTATAAATACTAGAATATGGAGTTGTTCGCCATAATATATTCTGTGGGTTTTGTTTAACTCAAAATTAAAACCAGAAACAACCTAGAATACCAAGTTATAGGGAAAAGTAATTGAACATTTGCATTCCAACACAATGGAACATAATATAGCCTTGAAAAATGCACATGAAGAGAATATAACATAAGAAATAATTGACTTAATTATCCTGATTAGCATAGGATTCAAAATTGCCCATGCAGTAAGGTTATAATTATATTTTAAACAATAAAAACTAGCTGTAATTCTTTTTCACTTTGTTTGTTGGCTGACTTATTCATTTGGTTGTTCTTTTAAATCAATATGTATGCAT